ACCACAGACCGGCCGCCTCTCCTCCTAAACCCATGCCCCACTGCTGCGCTACAAGCACAACTTCTCATTTCCACGCATCCAAATACTCCCACACACCAACAAACCACAACACAACCACACTGCGCAGCTCCGAAGGCCTGGCTCAGTACCCATAGGGTAGAGTGGCTGGAAAGCTCCACCATTCCACTTCCCTCGCCCAATGAGAGCCACTCACATCCTGAAAACCAAAACACCTACACTCTTCCATGCACCTACACAGCGTAAGTCAACAAGTCACCAACGGCAAACAAACCACCCTCCGACTCCCATTCTCCGCTAAACATGCCTCCCTTCCGTCCATGCGAACCAGCAGATCACTGCACACCAACACCAGCTCCAGCACGTATCCTGATTGTCACAAATTCCTATCCCTTCTCAACATCCCGGCCCTGCTTGCTGCAGCGCCAACACACACTGCAACTGCGATTCAACTGACAACGCTCACACCCGCAAGGTACCACAGACCGGCCGCCTCTCCCCCAAAAACTATGCCCCGCTCCTGCGCTGCAGACGCAGCTTTTCATTTGCACGCATCTAAACACCCCCTTCCACACACCAGCGAACCACAACACAACCACACCGTGCAGCTGTGAAGGTATGCCTGACGACCCAAACGGCAAAGCGGCTGGAGAGCGAAGCCATTCCACTTCTCTCGCCCAATGCACGCGACTTACATCCTAAAACCCAAAACGTCTAACACCCTTCCACGCATCTACACAGCCGCAAATCAACAAGGCACCAAAGGCAAACAAACCAACCTCCGACTCCCACTCTCCGCTGGACATGCCTACGCTATTGTGTCCAGCCGAATCAGCAAATCACTGCCCACCAACACCAGCTCCAGCACGTATCCTGAGTCACAAATTCCTAACCCTTCTCAACAGCCCGGCCCTGCATGCCGCAGCACCAACACGCACTGCAACTGCGATCCAACTCAAACACGCTCACACCCGCAAGGCTCCACAGACCGGCCGCCTCTTCTCCGAAACCTATGCCCCACTACAAACACAGCATCTCATTTGCACGCTTCCAAACACCCCCCTTCACACACCAAACTGCGCACATACAAACGCTTGTCTTGGACCCAGAAACAGCAAAGCGGCTGAAAAGCTCCGCCATTATTCTCTCGCCAAATGCGTGCTACTCACCTCCTAAAAACCAAGCCGCCTAACACCCTTCCACGCACCTACACAGCCGCAAATCAACAAGTCACCAACGGCAAGCAAACCACCCTCCGACTCCCACTCGCCGCTGAGCACGCCTACGCCCTTCCGTCCAGCCGACCCAGCGGCTCGCTGCCCGCCAACGCGAGCAGCAGCACGCGTTGCTCGGTTAAGACAGTCGTGACGCTTGCTGCACTTCTTCTGCGCATTGCTTGTGACTCACTGTGTTTAATAGTAAACGAAACAAAATTTTCAATGTCACTTGAAAGTCTTGAGTCAGCAATTTAGCAACTGAGCCTCTACCATTTTCATGCTTCCATTCACCGGCAAGCACACCTATGTCTTGCACCCGGTACAGCTGTTCCCCCCCAAACAACACAATCAGCGGCGCATATTATCAGCAGTGCATGTCGAGCATGGTGGGTATTCATCAGTTGCCCAACACCACATGTCTCTTCAGGTTGCTTAGCCAACTCTGCAGCACCCTGACGCAGGCAGCAGCGGTTTGCCCACAAGCGCGCAGACAAAAAAACCTAATATCTCCTTCAGGCTTTGTGCTATGCAGTTTTTTCTGTTACCTGGTGCAATTAACCCCACGAGTGACGTAGCTTCACAGTCCCACACTCACATTCCCACGCCCTCGTCTGCGGCTCGTGCTACGCTGCTTCCAGGTTTCCAACGAGTAGCAACGCTGCAGTTGAACCGAGCGCGCAAAACTACAACTTTCCGCCTAAGTCAAGCGTCCTCTTTTCCGCAGTCTATTGTTTATTCATGCCCTAAGGTGTGAACGAAGTATTTGTGGTCGTCCAACCACGTGCGTTGTCCAAACATAATGAACCACAGCCCACGCAGGCAGGCGCATATGCGACAAGCTGTCTCCCAGTCAGACTCTAAGAACAGTTTGTCCGTTAAGTCTCCTAAAACAATGCGCTGCACTCAACTCCTGAGATTCGAAACGGCAAGTACTTCTCAACAGCGCCTCACGGCGGCTATACGTAGTGACGTCACCAGATATCCAGGAGGCTGCACCTCCAGTTTGATGAGTGTCCACTTATTAAGCAGGGTCTTTGGCACCATAAGAACAGCACAATAACCAGGGTCCATTTTCTGTCAGACTTTCAGGTAGCCCGCGCAGGTATGTTTCCTTGGTTACATTATCGTTGACTCACAGAGCATGAAGTCTCCCCGTTGAAGCCGAGTTTCCGTGGAACAAGTGTATTGGCAGAAAAGGTGCTTCTAAATTTCAGGCCTTGGAAGCATTTAAGGATCATATATATTGCGGCTACTGCGGCAGCGACGAAGAAAATCGCTGCAGTGGCTGCCCTGGAGGTTGTTCTCCTCTCCACTGGCGAAGAAAGTGTTTCGGTGCATGACGTTGCTCCATATTTCACTTGAAACCCATTAAAGAAAGAAACAGAACCCCTATAGTCCTGCAAGTCGTC